CACCCTTGTCGGAAATCACCTGACATATATGCAAGAGTTTATTTCTGCTCTCTTCTGTTGGTCTGTGTGTCTTGATCTGTATGGATGCCTTTTATTTACTTTACCTGCCTGACTATGCTAGCTAGAACTGTCAGCACTGTGTTGAGTAAGAATGGTAAGAGCAGACATACTTGCCATTCTCCTAGTCTTAGGGAAAAAGCATTTGGTCTTTCACTGTTGAATACAACATTAGCTGTAGGGTTTCTTTTTAAGTGGGGGTAGACTACTCTCTATCAAGTTGAGGCAGTTCTACTCTATTCCTAATTTTCTGAGAGTTTTTTTTTTTTTTATCATGGATGAGTGTTGAATTTTGTTAAATGTTTTTTTGCACTGATATGATGACGTGATTTTTCTTCTTTAATATGTTAACATGGTGAATTACATTGATTTTTGAATACTGAACCAGCCTTGCATTCCTGTAATAAATCTTACATGGTCACAGTATATAATTCCTTTTGTATGTTGCTGAATTCTATTTGTTAATATTTGTATTGAGGATTCTTACATCTGTATTTATGAGGTATTTTGGTCTGAAATTTCTTTTGTCCTGTCTTTGGTTTTGGTATCAAGTTAATAAACAAGCTTCATAAAATGAATTGAGAAGTATTTACTCCTCTGTTTTCTTGAAAAGATTGCAGAGAAATGTGTTAAGTCTTTTAAAAATGTTTGGTAGAATTCTGTGAAACTGTCTGGGCCTAGAGATTTCTTTTTGGAAGGATTTTATTTTAAATAACACTTTAGTTGGGATACAATTCACATACCATAAAATTCACCATTTTAAAGTGTACAGTTCAGGGTCTTTTTGTATGTCCAAAAAGTTGGGCAACCATCATTATCTAATTTTAGAACATTTTCATTAACTCTGTATCCACTAGTAGTCAGTCCTCAATCCTCCAGGCCCCCAGCCCCAACCACCATTGACCTTTCTGTCTCTGTTGGTTTGTATAATCCAGACATTTCATATAAAAGGAATCATACAATAGGTGGCCTTTTGTGTTTTTATATCTGTGTTGTAATAAGTATCGTATTTCATTGCTTTTATTGTCAAATGTGATTCCATTGTGTGTGTCTAGCATATTTTGTTTATATTTCATCAGTTCATGAACATTTGGATTGTTTTCACTTTTAAATTTATGAATAATGCCGCCACGAACATTCGTGTGCAAGTTTTCACACGGACTGTGTTTTCATTTCCCTTGGGTGTGTACCTGAGAGTGGTGCGATTCCTTTTTTCGTCATTTCCTTGCTGTTCAGAGAACTTTCAGTAGCCACTTTTCTAGGCGAGTTCTGCTGGTAACAAATGCTTCTGGTTTCCTAGTTCATCCCAAGAATGTCTTGATTTTCCAAAGGTTATTTTTGATGGGTGTACGTGTGGGTGACAGTGCTTTTCTTTCGGCACCTGGAAAATATGATGCCACTTCCTCTGGCCTCCATGGTTTCTGCAGCGAGTTTTTGAATTGTTTTCTCCCTGTAGATATCATTTTTCTCTCGCTGCTTTCGAGATTTTTTTCTTTGTCTTTAGTTTTCAGGAGTTTGACCATCTCATTGTCATACTGTGGGTACTTTGGGTTCTCCCGTGTAGGGTTTGCTCAGCTTCTTGAATCTGTAAGTCTGTGTCACTTGTTAAATTTGGGAAATTTTCTTTAAATACTTTCCAGCCTCATCCTCCTTGCCCTGTGTTCTGGTGATGGCACGAGTGTTAGGTCATTGGTTATCGTCCCACAGGTTTTTGAGGCTCTGTTTTTTTTTTGTTTTTTCTCTGTGTGTATTAGATTTGGTAATTTCTATTGTTTTCTGTTCTCTTTTATTGCTCGCTGATTCTTTTCCATGCCCCCTTCATTCTATTGTTGTGCCCTTCCATTGAGATTTTTATTTTGATTACTGTATTTTTTAGTTCTAAATTTCCTGTTTGGTTCTTTGTTATATCTTCTGTTTATTTGCTGGGACTATTTCTTTGTTGAGACTTTCTGTTTTTTCATGTGTTTCAAGTGTGTTCATAATTGCTCTTGATGGATTTTTACGACGCCGCTTTAAAATCTTTATGTACTTCTGTCATCCTATCATCTCAGTGTTGGCCTCTGCGTCACTCATTGTCCTTCAGAGAAACAGAACCCACAGGGTGTGCGTGTGGGGTGTGCACAGAGATTCAGCACAAGGAATGGCTCGTGCTACGGAGGTTGCAAGTCCAAACCCATAGCTGAGGCCAGCAGGCTCGAGAGCCGGCTGCACGCGGGAGGGCCGGTGGTGCGGCCGCTGGGAGGCAGCTGGTGGGGACGAGGTCCAAAGGCAATGTGCTGGACACCCAGGCCAGGCTGGTCTTCAGCCGAGTGAGTGAGGCCCGCCCTCATGATGCAACCTGCTGTGCTCTATGGATTAAAGTATTAACTGTGTCCCAAACACCCTTGCAGAAACATGCGGAATAATGTTTGACCAAATATCTGGGCACCCTGTGGCCCAGTCAAGTTGACACATAAAATTGGCCCTCAGAGCATCTGCAAACGATCTTTCCTCATTCAGTTCGTGCTCTCCCTAGTTCTTGGTATGGTGAGTGAGTTTCAGTTGAAAACTGGAAATTTCTGGTATTGAGTCATGACACCTGGATCTTATTTTAAACTCTCTGTTGTAGCCGGCTGCGTCTCGCACCTCTGTCAGGGGAAGGGGGGTTGCTGTCTGGCTGGGGTGAGTATGCAGTCTGGGGTCCCCACTCCGTTGGCACGAGCTGGGGCCTTCTCCTCACTGACGGGCGGGCTGGCGGCTCTAGCCCCTGCTGCACCTCGAGGATGCTTTCCTGGCTGGGAGGGTTAGGTGTGCCTCGTTCTTGCTCTGCACGTGGTTTCTGCACACTGTGTATGGGGGCGGCCTCGTTACTGCTGGATGGTGGCGAAACCCTGACTGTCCCCTCAGCCCTTCTGACAGCACCCGGGCAGGGTGGGGCTGGGGTGCCTCATCACTGCGTGTGGGAGTGGGAGTCTAGGCATCCCGGTGGTCTTCCCTAATACCACAGAGGTGGGCGGGGTTGGGGGGGCTCGTTTACTACTTGCTGAGGAGGAAAGTCCCACTCCCTACTTGGCCTTCTCTGAGAGCACCCCAGTTTGGGGTGGATGAGAGAGGCCCCAGTCACTGCAGTGCAGAATAAAGGGTGTTCCCCTGGAGTCCTGGCCGCAGTGACCACTGGACTCCCCACCCCAGCCCTGACCCCTGGCCTCCCATTACAGTCTGGGAGGGGGAAGTCTAGGCTCCCTGCTGGTCTTTGCTGGAAAGGATGGAGGTGCAACCACAGTTCTTTCTGCGATGTTTGGCTGGAGCAGTGTAGTTATTGTCTAAAAGTTTTCTGTCTTGCTAGGCTGCCCTTTCCTGACCCTTTGGTCATAGAGGGCTGGCTTCTGTTGGTGCATTTTTATCTGTGCCCTGTGGTCATTTCCAAGCTGCAGGCTTCTTCAGCTCCAAGTTTGGGATATACGAGGCAAAAAGAAAACCCAGGGAACTCACCTATTCCTAGGTCCTAGCTGGTCTGCCTTCTTTTCTCCACCTTTCAGAGTCTTCTCGTGTTTGCTTTGTGTATAATGTTCAGAGTATTATTTGCACTTAGTGGGAGGGGTAGGGAAGGGTGTGTCTACTCCATCTTCCCAGAAGTACAAGTCCCGGTTTCTTTCATTTTTGTTTTTTAAAACGAGAGTGGCTGGAGTGGCTTAGCTACTGATGGGGGTGGTGCGTCGTGGAGGGAGGATTGCAGGAGCCGAGTTCTGAGTAGGGCAGTGGCTGCGGTCGCAGCGGCATCAGCTCTCCTTTTCCTCGGAAGGAGGGCAGGCTTGGAGGGTGAGCTTGCAGGGAGGTTGGTGGCTTTGGTGGCTGTGTAGTTCCCAGGTCTGAGTTGCACGTGGTCAGGGAACAAGAACTTCAGGTAGAGCTGGGATTCTGAATGTCAGTTCTGAGGTAGGGTCCAGGCATCTCGGTGGCCAGCCTGGAGTCAGTGTCCACGGGTCAGAAGCCACAGGCTTCAGTACATCCAGGGACCCAGGACTTTCCAGGAGTTGAGTCTGCAAATTCTGCCGAGGCTGGCAGATGGCAGCGGGCCAGAGCACCGACAGCAGCCCCTGGAGGTCGGCCCGGCTGCAGGGCAGTGCCCAGGCTGTCCTCCCGCCTGTCTTGCCTGGGCCTTGCCACGAGTTGTCACCTGCCCCTGAAGCGAGGAGTGAAGGGCCAGGGCTGCCCACCTCTGCACCCCTCTCCCTCCCGGTTCGCCTCTAGCAGGACACCTGCGTGGAGAAAGAGGTTCTCCATCCTGTTAGCCCAGCCTACTGGGAACCCGTGAAAACAGAACAGCTCTGGAATTAGATGGGACCCAGAGGAGATTACCCCTCTGTGGGCCGTGCTGTAAGAAGCGAAAGATCGGGGAAGATGGACCTCCTTTCCTTTCGGATTCAGATCGCGCCTGAGTGCCGGGCTCTGTCGTGGGCCAGGCATGTGGCGAGGTCTGTCCTCCGGGAACTTGCCCACTGTGGTCTCGGTTGTGGGGGCTGCTGCACACAGAAGGTTGGAGGAGGACTTCGGGACGTGCGGGCTTTCATTCAGGAGGAAACGTCTCTGGAGTTGCTCAGGGATGTCCCCCAGCCGGGGGCGGGGGTTGGGGGTGCTGTGAGTGTTCTCCCGGGGAGGTGCCCAGGCAGAAGTCGGGCCTGCAGTGCTCGGGGCGTCCGAGCGGCCTGGGCTCCTCGGGCCTTGCCGGGCAGTGTCCGGGGGGGCTCAGTGTCCCTGCTGCTCTGGGAGCTGCAGCCGAGAGAGCTCTGCCGGGCGGGGCGGGTCTGACCTCTGGCCCTGCCTCGACTCCCACGCCCGGACGCCCGACTGGCTTCCCCACTGCACGGCCCTGCCAGGTATTCGTTCGGGGCAGGCGGCCCGACGCGGGCCAGGGCCGTGCGTCTCATCTGCGCGTCCTCCTCACGCCTTCTCCTTGCTTCCAGACAAACGACGCAGCCGGCAACACCTGGAACTGGCTCTACTTCATACCCCTCATCATCATCGGCTCCTTCTTCATGCTCAACCTGGTGCTGGGCGTGCTCTCGGGGTAAGAGGCTGCGTGGGGCTCTTGCAGGCGCCCCGTGTTCTCAGCTGAGGGACGGGCCGTGCAGTTGCACGGGGTGCGCGTGAGGTGGGCAGTGAGCCAGGCCTGGCTGGGGAGCACCCTCTGCGTTGGCTGCTTCTGGAGTCCTGGGCTCTGGTGGCCCTTTGTGCCACCGTCACGGCCCCTTCCTTGACCTTCCCTTGGCCTCTGCCTGGCTTCTGCCGTGGGGAGAGGCTGCTGCGCATGTCAGCTGGGTAGGTGGGAGGTTTGGCTGGGACGGGGTTTCTGGGCGGCTTCCATGGCCACAGAGCCCCCTGTTCCCGCAGTGAAGAATGAGCCCCTCGGGTCTCGGCTGCAGTGACCACTGGGGTGCCCGCCCCAGCTCGGGGCACCCCTTTATGCCAAGCTGCTCCAGGGGAGGGTGGGGGAGGGTGCAGTGCTGGGGCCTCCTGGGGAACAGTGACTCCTGACCCCTGCCTGGGTTGGAATGTGGCCGGCTGGCCCATGGGCACGCGGCACCCGCCTGTCCTGCACTGGGGCTGGGAGCTGAGGAGGTGCCGTGTGCCTGGGCACAGCCGGGGCTGAGGAAGCCATGACAGGGATGGGGTGGGGGTGTCAGGCCTGGCCTGCCTCTGTGCCCCACCTCCCTGAAGGAGAAAGTCCCCATTCTGCCTCCCTGAAGATTCCTGCTCAGGCCCAGGGCTCCTGAGGAGGGCTGAGGATAGAGCCCGGGGGACCCCAGAGTCGTGCCCACAGCAGAGACAGGCCGTGTGCCCCGGCTGGGGTGTGTTCTCAGCCTCGGCCCTCTCCTGTGTGGGATCCGATTGTCACTGGCATGTCTTAGACGCTACGCCTGCACAGGGACCGGCTAAGCCCCCAGCACAGGGGTGGACGTAAGCTCCCGGTCTGCTGGGGAAGCTGGGGGAGGCCTGCGGCTCAGAGAAGGCCCCTGGGGGAGGCCTGGGAAGGAGCCAGGCTGAGGGAGGAGGAGGCCCTTCCAGGCAGAGGACGCTAGGGGGGAGGCTCGGTGGGCGTGTGTGGCGTGTGTGCCACAGGGACTCTTGGGGCTGGGGCCAGAGGGTGAGGTGGGCAGAGGGCGCAGGGACTGGCAGGGGACTCGCGGCGTCCAGGCTGGGGAGGGGCATGAGCTCCGTGCGGGAGACACTACGCGTGGGGAGGTGGGCTGGAGCCCGGAGCCCGTGAGCGTCCTGGCCTCTCGGGAAGGGAGGTGTGGGATGAATCCCTGGTCAGCCTGGCCGAGCCTCGTCCAGGCGTCCAGGCCCCGTGAAGGCCACTGAAGCCGCGGCCAGCACAGCCCACGTGGCTGCACCCCGGGTGCTGCGCGGTGAGCAGCCGCCTGACCGCCTGCGGGAGCTGGCACAGCCCCGTCCGTCTCCGTTCCTGGGCCCCAGAGAAGCAGAGCTGGCGGCTGTTCCTGGGGCCCCCCCACCCAGTGGGGACGGCAGCTCAGGGACGCTGATGGCCACCGTGTGAGAGATAGCTGCTCTCCGGTGGGGACCAGGCTGCCCCTGTGAGTTTCTGCTGAGAGCTCTCGGATGGGCTCAGGCAGCGCCCTCACGGCCCTCTGCCGCCCCCAGGCTGTCCTGCTCTCAGGGCGTGGCCAGGGGACCTGGGTCAGACGGGGAGGCCACAGTGGACCTGCCTTCCTGTAGAGGGGTGGGCCTGGGCAGGAGCTGTGTCCTCTCGTCGCCTGGCCTGCAGCGGCCCAGGCCCTGGTGGGCGCTGGCTGTGGGCTCAGGGTTGGTCCTGGTGGGAACCAAGCTCTCCTTCCCACTGCGGCTGTGCGCCAGGAGTCGGGCCTGTCACGTCCACTCGGCAAGCCCGGACGCTGGTTTTATGTGTGTGAAGGGGAAGGGGAGGGAGAGGGAGGGACGGAGGGAGAGAGAGAAGGAGGGAATGGTTTCCCAAAAGGCTGGGCCGGGTGGGTGAGAGCTGCGCTGCAGGGCAAGCGTTTCTGCACAGGAGGGGCTGGGCTGTTGGAGATCAGAGAGCACGAAGGTCCCTCCTGCTCCCCGTGGGCCGCGGAGGCCACATGGGCTCTGCAGTACTTTCCTTTTGCTTCTGGCCTGCTCTGACCCGGTCGTCCCTTTTTCCTTTGCTGCCGTCTGTCCCTCCTCCTGCCAGCAATGGCTTTGTGTCTGAACCCACAGAGGAAGCAAAGGAAGTGTCCTCCAGAGATTGGTCGCAGATTACCGGGCTCAGCACGGGGGTGCATGCTTAGGCCTGCTCTAGGCGGGGGCTGTGGCGGTGTCCCTGCCCCCGGAACCCCCCGCTGGGGACCCAGGCTCTGTCCCTAACTACCAAGGAGTCTGAGGAGGGCGGGTCTGCCTGGCTGTCCACGTGGGCTCTCTGGGTGAGCAGGGAGCCCCAGGGTCCTCCAGGTGCTCAGGCTGGAAGAGGCTGGGAGACAGGGCTCCCCGGGCGGCAGCCTGCAGCCTGCATCTCCTGTCCCAGTCTGTTCTGGCCCCTGTTATCTCTGCGGGCTGCACACCTGCCTGCAGGTGTGCTCACACTCACTCCACCTGCTTGCTTTCCTGGCACGGCACAGAGAGTTCGCCAAGGAACGAGAGCGGGTGGAGAACCGCCGCGCTTTCCTGAAGCTCCGCCGGCAGCAGCAGATCGAGCGGGAGCTCAACGGGTACCTGGAGTGGATCTTCAAGGCTGGTGAGAGCCAGGGGAGCAGCCCCCGTGCGCCTGGCCTGCCCTCTGTCCGCTCTGCGGCCCGCTGGGCTCCCCGGCTGTGGGGTGGAATCTGCAGGGCTGTGCGGGGAGGAGGCGTCTCTCGACGGCTCACCCGGGGTCCTGGCTCAGAGACGGTGGCCTCCTCAGCTGAGGACTCGGCCCGACGCTGGTCTCTCCCTGTCACACCCAAGTGCCTGCCCTTTCGTGCCCTGACTCTGGGCTCGGTGGAGCCTGGACTTTCTGGACTCCTGCCCCGACCCTCAGCCCCGGGCCAGCACCCTCCCCTCCAGGCGGGGCACCCGCTCCTGCCTCCTGCAATTCACAGGTGACCCCTCAGTGCTGAGCGCGCCTGGGGGACAGCTGTGCACAGGGGCGGTGACGTGTGGGGGGATCCCGGCGGCCGCGCCCTCTTACGGGCACTGAGCAGAAGCTCAGCTCTGAGCCCCGCTGGCCTGGGGGAGCGTGAGAGCGGAGAAGGCAGGTCTTCCCGGGAGATGTGCCTTCACCCCGGTGCATTACTGGGGTGAGCCTGGAGGGGACGGGGAGAGGCGGGCTGTGGCCTGAGGCTGTGTTCCCCTGGCAGAGGAAGTCATGCTGGCAGAGGAGGACAAGAACGCGGAGGAGAAGTCCCCCTTGGATGGTAGGTGGCCCTGGCAGGCGCTGCTTGCGTGGAGAGCTCTGGCGCTGGGTGGGCAGTGGGCTGGGTGCGAACTGACAGGGTTCACACAGGGTGCGCCCTGCGGTGCCAGGCGCTCACGCGCCCACACACGAACACAGACCTGGGCCACGGAGTCTGGCCCTGGGCTTCCCGACACACGCACGCATCATCGTCACGGAAAGTTCTGTTGAACGGTGCTGCTCCTGCTGACTTTAAAGCTGCAGGTCTAGGCCAAGCCGTGTCTGTCCCCAGAGAGACTCCTGGCACGACCTGGGCGCTGGGTGGGGGTTGGGGGCCCTCTTCTGCGGCCGTGGGCACTGGTGGTGAGCATGGGCCCTGCCGCGGGCCGGGGTTGCCCTCTCTCCACGCCCACCACCAGGTCGGGGCCGGAGCGCACAGCCGCACCTGCCGCGGTCTCAGCTGTCCATACCTGAGGCTCTGAGCAGGTCTGCGGCCCTGGCTTCACCCCAGATGGACGTTTCCTGGTCTCCCTGGTGGCCAGGCTCCCACTGACCTCACTGTGGAGGGAAGGGAAAGCCGGGACCCTCCCTCAAAATTCCGCACCCCAAGGGGGCCAGGAACCATCCTGCCTCAGCCTCAGCGCTCCAGGCCCAGGGCGGAAGTTCAGGGAAGGCTGCCGGTGCTGGGGGAGGGTAACCCCAGGCTCAGCAGAAAGACGCCTGCGGCCCTGAGGGGGGCCGCCTGCGTGTGCAGCTCAGGCAGCCCCCCCACCTTTGTCTGAAGCAGTGCTGAAGAGAGCGGCCACCAAGAAGAGCAGGAACGACCTGATCCACGCGGAGGAGGGGGAGGACCGGTTCGCAGACCTCTGTGCCGTCGGTGAGTCCCGGGTCCTCCGGCCCTGCGCGCCTTGCGGCTAGACGCGGAGCGGCGCCCGGCTCCCTTCCTGGCCGGCTGCGCCTGGGGGCTCCTTCTCGCCCAGACCTTGCTCGTTCACTTGCGTAACCTGGAACCCGAGTCGCGGCCCGTGGCCGGGGCCGTGCGTCGCTGACTCTGTCGGGACCAGGGGTTTCCAAGCCTCTCTCCCCAGCCCCTGTTTCCGCCTCCTGGAGCTGCCGCTGCCGAGACCCTTCTTCCTCCTCCGCTTCTCCAGTAGGGAAAGGAAATTCTGATTAACTTATTCTGCAGAGCCGCTCTGGGTCCCTTCCTCTCTGTCCCATACCAGACTTCTGGCACCAGAACGCCTGGGCTTTCCCACCCCAAACGGCCTAACTGCGCATTCCGCCGCCGAGGAACACTCAGCCCGAGTCCCCACGTTTAACTGTGTGGGGAGGTCCCGACACTCGGTGGTTTTTCATTTCAAGCTACCGGGTCGAGTCCAGTGTGGACTCCTTGCCCTGCAACAGTCTGTGAGTGGACCAGAGTCACAGGTCTGTTTCCCATTATGCTGTTGTGTTTATGGGACAGAACCCTTCAATAAAGCAGTACACACACACATGCATACACATGTATACACACAACATACATGCATACACACGCATACATGCAATGCACGCACATGTATACACACATACATGCATACACATGCATACATGCAATGCACACATGTCGCATACATGCAATGCATACACACGCACACATGCAATGCATACACATGTATACACACATACATGCATACACATGCATACATGCAATGCACACATGTATACACAACATACATGCATACACACGCATACATGCAATGCATACACACGTATACACTCTCTCTCTCTTACACTTTACCGTTTCTGTCCCCACCCAATGCCAGGGAACCGTGCTAACAACTGAGAACAGGCCCTTTCTGGTTTCTCCGTGCTCATCTCAGACACCACACGCAGGCACACGCAGGCGTGGGCGCACATATGGGCATGTAGAGTTTGGGGACGCTTTTCTCATCTGCACCTTTGGAAACCCCTGCCCACTGACGAGTTAGTCCAACCCCAGTCTGCTGTCCATGGCTGTGTGCCGTTCACGCCACGGATCCACCGTAAATTAGTCAGCTGCCCTATCCGTGGCTGTTCATTTATTTCTAGTTTTTTTTAAATCTCACTGTGAGAAATGCTGCCCCTGGATCCTTGCACACGTGCGTCCTTCCTGACCAGCGCCTGTGTCTCTGGGGCGACTCCCAGCGCAGGCTGCGCGGGCAGGCGCACCTGCCGTTAACTGTAGCGGAGACCTTGGCCCCCGTCCTGCTTAGTCGTCACAGCTCCTTGTGGTTTTGCCAGTTTGAGGCTGGTTGGACGAGTGCGAGGGGACAGTTCATTGGCTCTGGTTTCCTCATTTCACCCCCTTGTGATTTTGACCCTCTTTTGAATGTTTCCCATTTAAACATTAAATCTACTGGTATCTCCTCATGTATCCTATTCATTTTTATGTTGGGTTTATTTATTCGTAAGTTATTTTGTATTTATTTTGTCAGCAATAAGAGACTGTCCAGGCGAGGTAGCTCACACCTGTAGTCCCAGCTTCCTGGGAGACTGAGGCTGGAGGATCACTTGAGCCCAGGAGTCTGAGGTTGCTGTGAGCTGGGCTGACGCCACGGCACTCTAGCCCGGGCAACAGAGCGAGACTCTGTATCAATAAAAAAATCTTCTATGATTTGGCATTGTTTAAATAACACTGGAATTATCTGTTTTTTATAAGTGAGATAAAACTGTGAATCTATATAGTCCAAAAAAGCCAAAAACAAACAAACAAACAAACAAAAAAACCTTGGGCCAGTTGTGTAATTTATACTTTGTTGGGAAATCTTGTGTTTTCTCTGGGCGTTCAAATTAGTTTCCGCAGAGCTGCGCGTGGTATTCTCTTACGATTGAGGCACTGGGGCTACAACATTGATCAAAATGAAAACATGGCCCTTCATCTTCTGGAGTTTGCGTTCCGGTGGGGGCATCAGACAAGAAATGAGGTGATAAGCAAACACGCAGCATGTCGATGGAGCCAGGAGCTGAGGAGGAGGAGTAGGGAAGGCAGGGTCAGGGGTTCTGGGGGTGCTGCAGTCCCCACGGGGTGGTCGTAGGAGGCCCCGGGAAGTCGGCTGCCACTGAGCAGAGAGGACGGAGTGAGGAAGTCAGCCCGAGGGACACCTGGGGGCAGGAACGTTCCAGGCAGCAGGTCCCGCGACCCTGGGCAGGAGGTGCCTGCTCGCTGCTCCCTGTGGCTGGGCAGCAGGAGGGAATCGGGGGTCGTGGCGGGCGAGGTGCCCGCAGGGACTCCAGGCAGACGGGAGGGGGGTGGTTTGCAGAGGGGTGACACCCTCTGGCTTCTGTCGTGTTAGGGCCCCTCTGGATCCCTGGGCTGCTGACAACAGACTGAGCTGGGAAACGGAGGGCGGAGCAGGGAGGCCGGTTTGGAGGCTGCTGCGAACATCCAGAGGGTGGTGGCTCAGACCTGGAGGCAGCGGGAAAGAGGACGGCAGGTGTCAGGTTCTGATGTGTTTTGAAGACAAGCCCACGGGGTTTGCTGACCCGCTGGGTGTGGGTGGGAGAGAGACCCCAAGGACAGCTGCACAGGTTGTGGCCTGAGCAATGGAAGGACAGGGAGCTCGGACGGGGAGGACAGGACCGCGGAGGGGCCGGTTTTGTGGGGACTGGCGTCCACGTTCAGGCTGGGACGTGCTCATTTCGAGATGTGTGCCGGGGAACGTGGGGACACCACGCAGCCGTCTAACGTGCCGGCGTCTGTGTGCAGGCTGGAGACGCGAAGCAGAGCGTTTGCTGTATACGATGTTCAGGGCTCTGAGACTGACCCGGAGCATGTGGGTTCGTTTTCCTCTGTGTGGTTCCTGGTACGTCCACCTTTGCGTCCTCTCTTTTTCTTAGTTTGGTTCATATTGGGGTTAATGTAGATAGTAATGACCAGATTTCAGATCTCTTTTTCTTCTACTTTTTGTTTATTTCAATTTTATTATTTCAATTCTTATCTTTATTAAGTTTATCTTTCTACATTATTTTGGTTTACTTTATTATTTTTCTACTTTCTTAGAATATGTGACTTGTTCTTGTTTTTCCTACTTTAATGGTGAAGGCGTCTTAGGCTGTGTTTTTCCGTCTGTGTGAAGCTTTGCTGTCACGTCTTCCTTCGTGCCGGTTTCTGGATGATAATTACTCTCCTCTAGAGGCAGAGGTTGGCCTGGGAGTGTGTCCTCATTTGTAAGCAGTTAAGATGTTCCTGGCCGGGCGCGGTGGCTCACGCCTGTAGTCATAACACTCTGGGAGGCCGAGGCGGGTGGATCGCTCAAGGTCAGAAGTTCGAGACCAGCCTGAGCAAGAGCAAGACCCCATCTCTAGTAAAAATAGAAAGGAATTATCTGGACAACTAAAAATATACATACAGAAAAAATTAGCCGGGCATGGTGGCGCATGCCTGTAGTCCCAGCTACTCGGGAGGCTGAGGCAGAAGGATAGCTTGAGCCCAGGAGTTTGAGGTTGCTGTGAGCTAGGCTAACGCCACGGCACTCTATCCCAGGCAACAGAGTGAGACTCTGTCTAAAAAAAAAAAAAAAAAAGATGTTCCAATCATCTTTTCATTATTTCTGTTTTTATCAGATAACAATGGGAAACGTGGCTTATAAATCTCTACATTTAAAAGTTTTCAAATTCTAAGTTCACGACTGATTTTAAAAAGCTTCACTAACATAACAAAAAAGTAAGTGTGCCATATTTTGGCAATACCGGATTGTAGGTATATTTGTTAAAATCAAGTTTATTGATCACATTTTCTAATTCTTTGTTTTCCATCTACTAAATTTGTACAGTTCCAAAAGTGATGTTTTGAACATCCCTGACATTTTATTTTTTGTGAAGTTCCTCTTGTGCTTCTCGTAGGTTGTGTTTGTGTGTTTAGCTGTTGTGTAGCTTGGTGGATGTAAAGTTCGTGACGTCACGTCTCCTTCGTGAATCGTGCTTGATTTCGTCACGCGACGCCTCCCCCAGACGGTCCCACCTGTCTGGCCTCCGAGCACGACTTCTGCTTTGCGTTGCCGTCCCTGCTTTCGGTTCCAGCTGTGTTGCCTGGTGCCTTTCTCACCCCTGAGTTTTAAACTCTTTTTTGTCATTGTGTTCTTGTCAATCATGTTTACCTGAGTTTTTAGCCCTGCGCCTCGGTCTCTGTCCCCGACATCGTTTCGTGTGGCGTGCGTGCGACTCCCATGTTCCAGGTCGGTGGCCCCAGGGGCTGGGTTCATGGAAGATGATTTTTCCGTGGATCGGGCTGGAGGTGTCGTTGGGGGTGTGTGGCGCGGAGCACAGGTGGTGACGTGCGGCCCGTTTCCTAACACGCCACAGACGGTACCGGGCCACGGCCCGTGGGTTGTGGACCGCAGTTCTGAGTGACCGTGCGCGTCTGTGTGGGGGGTTCTGAGCGTGTGGCTCTGCCCCCTGTGGGGCCCCCGCGTTATCCGGGCTGCGTAACCTCCCGCCCCATCCGCCCTGCTGCCTCTGAGGAGAGGAGTGTGCCTGGCCGAGGCTTCGGCAGGGCTGGCCGAGAGGCCTGTCGAGTGAGTCTGCTCTGACTAATTGGCGTCTGGACGTGGATCGTGAGGCTTAGCAGGAGGGCTGTGATCGACAGTCAGTGAGCATGGTGTCCAGGGCACCAGGAATTTGCCATTAGGGCCCTGCAGGGACATCCGTGACTGACAGATGGTCTCCTCTGGGCCACTCCTTCTGGGCCCCGGGCTGTCTGTGACAGCGTCTCCCTGTGTGTCTGGTGCAGCCTCTCGGCTTGTGGACACGCCCCTGCAGAGGCCTCAGGGCTCTGCCTTTGCTGTCGTGAATCCAGGCGGACACCAGCCTGATGCTCCAGTGTGGTACCGAGGGCCCGGTGTGCACACGCACATGGCCACGCGCAGACACACAGAGCATGCACGTAGTGTGCACGCTCACACATACTCCGTGTCCTCACCCAGGGACTCCACGCCCAAGCCCCGGAGTTCAGAGCCCACAAAGAGACCCAGAGCTGGGCACAGCCGCGCTCTGTCCAAGGGCAGACAACCACGGCCAGACTCAGTGCACGAGTCAGAGAAACTCCTACACAGGCACGAGTGCCCTGCTGCGGAGAGACGCAGCCAGGCCCTGTACACACACACACACGCACGCACACACACACACACACACGGACCCTAAACACCCACAGAGACCCTTCACTCACTCACCAGGCATTTACTGAACCCCTCTCAGTGTGAGGGTCTCAGTGGTCAAAGAGACGCATGGCCACTGTCCCCGCAGAGCTCACGGTCTTTTCTGGGAGGTGGGCACAGAGCAGGTCAATGAGCAAATAGTGACAGGTGGTGGCGCGGAGGTGACTACTGTCAGGGTGAGCCGAGGACCCGCTTTGGAGTGGAGCTCCCAGCGCAGGGCTCCGTGGAGGACGCTGGAGCTGGAACTCACGGCCAAGAAGGGGCTGGCTGTGGGCAGGAAGCCCGCTGAGGGGTGCTTCGCTCCTAGGAAGCCGCGAAGGGCCGAGGTGTGTGCAGAAACGAGAGGCCATCGGGTTGGATGTGGGCGGGGGAGGGTGCAGGAGTTGGATCAGAGCAGCGCAGGAGAACGTTCCGGTAGTGAGCGTTCGGGACTTTGTGGGCAGGACGGCAACCACAGGCCACGCGCGGACACACGCGCTCACTGTGCTCCAGGAAACTGCATGAAAAACAGGTGGAAACGGGCGGGCTGTGGTTGTTGGACCCCGAGTCAGCAGGAGAGGGGGGTCAGGTGCTGCAGAGCTCCTGGGCCAAACCATGGAGGTGGGATTTGGGGAGGGACTGACTCAGTCAGATTTATGTCTTGGGGGTGCAGAAAGCTTGGGGTTCCTGTGGAGAGGGGCCTGGGGGTGTCAGGACTGTGCTCTTGGAAGGTGGCCGGGGTGCTGGGACCAGAGACCGTGACCGCAGATCGTCCAGCTCCCCATCTGGCGCCCGATAACCGTGGAGATCGCCAAGGACTTTGGCTCCCTCACCTGTAAAGCGAGGGTCACGGGATAATCGGCACAATGTCTGTGGCTGTCTGGGGCGGAGGCAGATGTCCTCAGGGGTGTGTCCACGGGAGGGCTGGGCGCGTGTCATGGGGCCCGCTGCTCCCACACCCTCAGTGAGCCCCCTGTTCCCCCAGGATCCCCTTTCGCCCGTGCCAGCCTCAAGAGCGGGAAGACAGAGAGCTCGTCGTACTTCCGGAGGAAGGAGAAGATGTTCCGGTTCTTCATCCGGCGCATGGTGAAGGCTCAGAGCTTCTACTGGGTGGTGCTGTGCGTGGTGGCCCTGAACACCCTGTGCGTGGCCATGGTGCACTACAACCAGCCACAGCGGCTCACCACGGCGCTGTGTAGGTACCTGCGGGCCGGGCCCTCCCGCTGGCGACACTTCCCGAACCAGGTCTGCTCTGCAGCCTGGAAACCCTCCACGCCCCTTTCTCCCTGGGAGCACCCCGAGTGGGACCCCTGTATTGCCCAGGCCGTCCCATGGACCTGGTCAGCCCCCAAGGGCCTCTGTTGGGGATCTGGGCTGTGTCCAGGGCCTGAGGGTGGCCTTACCACCCCTGGGCTGCCCAGGCCCCGTGCCCCTGGGCCAGGGTTCCAGGAAGCCCACCTGGGCCTGGCTGGACCTCTGTTCCTCTGCGTCACGTGCGGTGGGATGAGGGGCCCTGGGCACCCAGGGGAGGAAGTTTGTGGGGTGACGAGGCCAGGCCAGGCAGGCCTTGTCCTCCTTTGTGAGCTTCAGACCCACAGACCAGGGACAAAGCTCATGCTCCTCTCTGCGGTGAGGCTGCTGCTCCTGCCCCGGGCCCCTGAGGAGAAAGCCCTGCTTCCAACCCCTTCCCAGGACTCCTCTGGTTATTTTCATTTTTCTTATTTTTGGTTGACTTTGGGCGCATTCCTGACCCCCATGACTGGGGCTGACTTGCGACTCTGTGTCCCCGAGCCTTCAGGACAGGTGACAGGGGTGGAGTCATAACTCATCCTGGCCCCGGCTGTGGCTACGACAGGCCAAGGGGAAGGCGACGGGTGGTGGGGCCCCCGTTCCACGGCCGGCCCTCCACATCGGAGGACCCTGCAGCCATGTGGAGTGTGGTCTTGGTCTGTTTCTTGCCTCACGGAGAGGATTACAGACTAAGAACCCGCTGATGTTTTCTGTCCTCTGCTCAGTGCAGCCTTCCCATCCCCCGGGGTCAGCTGCACTCACCCTGCTCGGTGTCTGCCGCAGGTCTGGGGACAGGGCCTTTTTGGGATGTCCCCCCGGGCCTCACTCTCCCCTGAGGGCCCTGTGTGCCTGAAGCTCCTCAGGAGAGCCGTTTCTGACTCCAGAGGAAAACCATCCTAGCCCCAGTCCTGGCCTGGCCGTCAGTGTGTTCCGCCATGACAGTGGCCTCCTTGGGGCCCCAGTGGGCCGGCCACACTCCCGTTCTGGGGACCACCGCCTGGTCTGCTCGGCCCGGGAGCCTGACCGTTCTCATGAGCTGTAGACTCTGCTCCGCAGCAGGAGAGACAAGGCTCTCGGGTCACGGGAAAGCGTGGGTGGGATTCCAGGCTGCGGTCTCCCGAACTTTGTACCGAATCCTCTTCCTGGCCTGGTGGGGGAGGGTGAAGAGAAGCAGAAGGACCCAGGGAGCTGCTGGCAGACGCCCGGCTCAGGCTCCCAGGGGGTGAAGTTCAAGGGCAGCGTGTGCATCGAATGCCTGCTCTGCTCCTAACTCAGGGGCCCAGGGGCCCACAGTTTGCTGTCTTGGGACTTTGCTTGGGACTGAGTTCAGTGTTTTGCTTGAGTCCTCACGCCGAGGTTTCCCTGCACGTGGGGGCCCAGGGCTTCCTCTTGACTCAGCCAGCCAGGTCCATTCTGCCCCAGGAGAAGCTTGGTACCCGGGCTCCTGAGCTGGGGGGGTGATGCTAGGTCTGGGGTCTCGTGGCACATCCGACGTGGGGAGAATAGGCTGGTGGTGCCGGGAACCTGCCCCTTGCTGCTTGGTCTTCTCTGTAGTTTCCTGGAATTCCAGCTCCACTGGCCACAGGGGAAATGGCTGGCGCGTTTGCCGCGTGCGAGCACCTCTGCCCAGTGCCGGGCTCTACCCTGCCGGGCCGGCTCCAGGGTAGGGTATGCCAGCCAGAGACCAAGGGCTTCCTCGGGGGGCCTGTCCCGAGGCTGCTCTGCGGCTGTGCAGCTTCTCCTCCAGCGACCACCCTCGGTGCGTCACCGGGACCTTCACAGCTGGGGTGTGCATGGTGAGGCGGAGCCCCAGTAAGGCCTGGCGCAGCTCCTGAGGCAGACCTGGCCACCCACTGTCCCACGGCACGCTGTGCTCTCGTGCAGAGCCCTGCTCCAGTGATCTGCCTGGGAGGGTCTGTGGGTGTCCCTGCCTCTGCCACTGGCCACGTGGCCTCCTCCTCGCCCCCCCACGCCTGGCTTGGGTGCCTGGTGCCTTCTGGCTCAGAGGCCAGGCTGGCTGTGGGTGACTTGCTCCCAGGGGCCTGGTCTTCCGTGTTCTTGGGCCGTGGCTGGGCAGTGGGGGGATCTGTCTGCATGGTGCCCACGGGGGCTGTGGAGCCCGCCCCGAATTAGGCCGTATGGCCCGTGCAGCCTGGCCCTAGTGGGGGGCTGCGGGTGAGGACAGATTCCAGGTGTGTTGGGGCGGGAGGGGTGTGTGGCCCCTCCTGCATCTGTTTCATTAGAAGCTGTGGTCCCTCAAGGCCCCAGGTCCCAGCAGAGAGCCTGGGAAGGCTGCGATAGAGTCTGCCTGGGGACTGGACTCTCAGAGGGTCGCCCTGACTCCTCGTGGCCTCGTTCTTTACGTGGGCTCTGTGCTGGCTTCTGGGCTGCCTCCTGGCCCTGCTACCCTGGCCAGAGGCCACAGTGTCTTTGGCCTCCGTGTGAAGTAAGGACTGATTCTAGCTCAGCGCTCTGGGAGGAGGATCAAAGGCAGGGGCCTCACTCACGTCTAGGATGCCTGGTGCGGCCGGTGGCTGAGCCTGGCTGCCTCTCCTGCTGTCTGTGGCCTCGTGCAGCCTCTGGAGTGACCACTTTTTTTTTTTTTTTTTGCTCTGACTCCGTCCTGTTTCTCCTCCTGCTTGGGCCGGGTCAGTAGTGTCTGTGCCTTGAATCCCCAGCACAGCCTTCCAGCCCCAGTGTGGCCTGAGGGCCTGAGCAGGGCTGTTGGTGGACTCCTGGGCCGAGGCAGCCCCCTGACGCTGATGTGCCCATAGGAGCCTCACTGACAGCACGGGGGGGCGGTGTCACCAAGCCCCTGGCGTGTGTCGTGCCATCTGGGTGCTCAAGGGGTAGAGCGGTTCTCTGTCGCGTGGGCCAAACACACAGCCAGAGTCGAAATCAAACCCGGTGCGGTGGGGTCCTGAGGACAGGCATCTGGGAAGTCCCGGTGGACAGACGGAGGCGGGGTGGACACTGAGGGCCAGGCAGAAGGGCCAGCCGGAGGCTGTAGCCCGGCTTCTCCTCAGGGTGGATGGGGGCCGCCTCTGGGGGTGGGGAGAGGGGCATCCCCTTCACCCCAGAACTCACTGCTGAGCCCAGCTTGGAGCCCACCTCCTGCCGAGCCTGTCCTCCTCTGTGTGCCGTGGGCACCAGACACTCCCCATCTCCCAAGCTGGAGCAGGCGTCTCTCCGTGTGCCTCCAAATCCGTCATTCCCGTCCTGGGCTGAGATTTCGGAGTGTGGGGGCTGCAGGCCAGGCTGGAAGGCTCAGTCCTGGAGACGCCCCGAGCCCCAGTGTCCTCCAGTCTGGGCCGGGTCCCGGGTGGGAGGAGGCCTCAAGTTAATCCCCTCTTCTCTGGCTTCTCTTAGACTTTGCAGAGTTTGTCTTCCTGGGTCTCTTCCTCACAGAGATGTCCCTGAAGATGTATGGTCTGGGGCCCAGAAGCTACTTCCGGTCCTCCTTCAACTGCTTTGACTTTGGGGTGAGTGAGACGCCTCCCCAGGGCTGCCTGCCAGGTGCCGGGAGGTCTGAGCGGTGTCCTCGCCGAGAGCACGTGCAGCCCCTCGTACGCTGTACCCAGGCTGGGGTGGGGTCTGTGTCCCACGTGAGGCAGGAGCTGCATAAAGACAGGCTCGAGGTATTGGCAGAGGGGGGCCTGACCTGGCTGGGCTGACCGGTGGGGGTGCCAGCCGCAGCGACTCTTTGTGTGCAGAACGTCCACCTTCCTTCCTCTGGTCCTGTCTGTAGAAGCTCAAGATCTGCTGAAGGCTCTGCAGCCCCCTCCCTGCCTGGGATCTTGTTACCCCACGGAGGGCTCAGCCTTTCCCTGACAGAGCGTACTGGGTCCGTGGTCCTGGTTCTGCAGCATCCTGTGGGTCTGGCCCTGGGCAGGCTCAGGCGCATGCATTGGCACTTCTGGGGCGGGCACGATCGGCCGTGGGGGGTGCTCCAGTTCTGGGGGTGGGGGGTGGTGAGCCTGGTCTGAGTCCCTCACCTCTGCAGCAGGTTGCTCATGTGGGGGTTGAGACCAGAGTGCAGGACGGGGCGGTGCTGAGCCCAGAGCCCTGGCATGTGGCACGGCTGGCACCTGCCCTGGGCTGAGCTCTGACCTGCTGGAGGCTCCGAGTGACAGGTGCACGTGCCAACCCTGAGGACGGACTCGGAGCTCTGCGGAGTTTGCAGTAGCAATGGAGGGGACCTGGTCTACATAGAAGTGAAGCTTCAGCTTGAAAATTCAGCTTAACTTAAACCTTTTGGCTCATCGGCACCACACTTCCAGCTGGCAGTGCGTTTGTGTCCGTGATTTTGTTAAATCCTCACGACGGCTCTCACTGTATAACTGGAGACATTGTGTGATTGGCCCAGGGCTGCCCTTCTGGTTTGCACGGGGTCAGGCTTCCTGACCTCGGGGCTGGAGGTTTTGCTCCATGCCACGCCGTCTGATCTCTGAGCAGGTGCAGACGGTGGCAGCCCAGGGTGCTCTCTGCGACGTGGACGTCTGTGGTTTTGGTAGGTGGCGGGGAAGACACCGACCTGGGTGTAGCTCCCACGGCGCCTCCCGACCTGCAGAGCGGGGTCGCCCCCTCCCACACCGAGGTGCAGCGGTGGGACGGGCGCAGGGTGACTGCTGCAGACGGTCCTCAGAAAGGGGAGAGGGAAACACAGCTGGCCCGTAGCGATTCTCCCATCCAAGCACTGACCAGGCCTGACCCTGCTTAGCTTCTGAGACCGGACGGGATCGGGCGCGTTCAGGGTGGCATGGCCGTAGACGGCAATTGTGACGTCCAGCTGGACAGATGTCGGAGATCCCGGGACTTGTTCTTATGGCCCAGGAAGCCCCCTGGGCTGTTTGTTCCGCCCTCTCAGTCCCTTGTCTTCTTCCTGAAAGGCAGTTTTCAGCTGAACGGGCTTCTCAGCCTGCTTCCTCTTAGTAATGTTTTGGGGATTCAAAGACCTGTGTCTGCTTGTTTTCCATGTCTGGATTCGTCAGCCGGTGATGTCTCTGCATGTAAGTCTGTTAAAAGTTTTATGGATGCTGTGACCCTTCTTGGGGTTCACTCCCTGAGACAACAGCTGTACCCACAGCTCAGGGTGAGCCCCTCTCCGTGTGTCCCTGTCGAGGTGACGGGGCCAGCACCCTGCAGTGTCCTGGAGGACTTGCTGCTTCGCTGACCCTCAGTCTCTTCGAAGGGCCTGGACGTGTGACTCTCAGGCAGCTCCTTGGGTCTTTCCGTCGTGTTATGTGGAAGTCACAGTCTGCCCGTGGTTTTGTCTGTAGACCTTGCTGTTTCTTCACGTTGGCTTCGTTTGCTCTCTGGAGAGGCGGAGCATTTTCAAAAGCACCAAGTCCTGGTTTCTGTTCGTTTAATGGCACTTCCCTCCGTTTAGCTTTCTCCTCTCGTATTTAACTGTGAGCGGCGAGAAGATGCCAGGCAGTACCTTCAGCACTTGGCTTAGAAATCTCCTGAGTCAGCCTCACAGTTCATTGAGCATGTTTTTGACTTTGCTCGTAACTCTGGGCAGCAGTGGGCTAACCCTGCTGCCAGCATGCACCCGGAACCATCCTTTAGTTTCCTAGAACCTTCTCCCCACTTTCCTGCGGACCGTGAGTGCAGCACCCTCAGGGTCCAAAGCTCTGTAAGTCGCGTGTTCAGGGCACTTTCCCCTGTCGCGGATGTGCTGCCCGACGCCCGTCTTCTGCTCCAAAGCCACCGCCCCGCGTTAGGTTGTGATCACAGCGGCACACACTTCCCCTTCCAAAATCTGTGTTGATTCTTCTTGCCGGGGAACAAATCCTCCCAAAGCTTAGTGGCTTAAAACAAAGAACACTTATTATTTCACCATTTCTGTGATTCAGGAATCGGGTGTGACTTAACCGGGTGCCCTGGCCCAGAATCCCCAGCGAGGCTGCAGGCGTCCCAGGCTCGTTTGGGCTGCAGGACTCCCCTCCAAGCTCATGCTTGTGGCCGTTGACAGGGCTCAAAAAATCAGCTCTCAGGCTCACAGATGTGGTTGCTGGCAGGTTTCCGGTCCTGGTCACACAGTCCTCTCTCGAGGCTGCCGGAGTGCCCCTCACAGCACAGCTGCTGGTGGTCTGAAAGAGAAACTGAGGCAGAAACCATAGTCCTTTTGCAGGCTGGTCTCAGAGGCAGCCCCCATCCCTTCTGCGGCGTTCTGTTTGCTGAGAGTGGGTCTCTGGGTGCCACCCCCCTCGAGGGGGTGGGGTTATGCACAGGAGTGAGCACAGGCGGTGGGTGACTGGGGGTCATCTGAGAGGCCACCTGCCGCACGAGCCAACGGGTCAGAGTTTGAGGGTCAGTGGAGAACAGGAGAGGTGCTGGAAGACAGACGACGAGAAGAAAGTACGTTGAGAAAGCTGCAGTCTCGGCCTTGCCGGTGTTCGGCAGAGTCGGCGGTGCGGATCAAGGACCGCGTGACCACCAAGAGCAGATTTTGGCAGCCCGCCCAGGGTGCCATACGGATAGGCTGTCATGGGTGTGTGGGTATCGGCACAACTGGGTGTTGGCAGGACGTGTGACGTTCTCTGAATGATGTGTTTTTGGACAAGACAGAGGAACCGGCAGTAGGTGACTGCACTTAAGTTTACCGGTGTAAACGGTGCACCTGCCAGCCCCAGACGTGCTGGTTGACGATCAGTGTTGACCTGAAGGAAATTTCTAGAGATGTGCCACAGAGCTCTGTCCTGGCGTACTCACCATTCTCGCCGCGACCTGGTGAGAACGTCGACATTAGCTGACCAGATTTGCAGTTAATGTGAAATCGGTAGAAACGACTAAAACTTTGGGAAACATACGCACCAAGGACGATGAAGCGGAACCTAAGAGATTCGTGCTCCGCGTTAATTGCAGGAGTGTGGGTTAAAGGAAACGAGAGTTCACACCCATGAAGAGGACGCGGGCCCAGAGTGCAGTAGCCGGGGGAGACTCCGCGTGGGCCCCGTGTGACCTGTGCAGAGGGAAGGTGGAGAAGGGTCTGCTGTGCTCCAGCCCCCATCCGTCCCATCTAGTCCCTCGCCACGGGCGTGACCAGGACGACCCTTCGCACAGTCCCCCGAGAAGGCTGGAGGGAGGGGACCCGGCTCACAGCCCCCGTCCCCCGGCCCCGATGGTGCCTGCGGGAGCCCTGCCGGCGAACCAGATGGGCAGGCTCCCCGCGACCTGTTCCTGGCGGCAGGTGCCGGCTCCCGGTCCCTGGGAGAAGGAGAGACTCGCGATGCAGTTTATGAACCTGAGTGTCTCGGAGCAGCGGCAGGACCAGGGAGGGAGAGTCACTGGGAACAGGGTTTGCCAGTCTGTGAGAGAATGTTCTAGTAGTCAGGGCTGTCTGAAGCATCCTGCCAGCTCCAGAGCTGTGCTGAAGCCCAGGCGAGGCGTCAGGCACGTGACGTTCAGGGCAACCTCGGTCCACGTCTGTCTTCCTGGTACGTCTGGGAGGGCTGGGAGGAGGACAGGTCCCAGGACCGGACCGGTGGGACTGCACCGCCTCCCCCGAGGGTTCCGGGAGCTCAGCGGGAGGCTGTGCCTCGCCCGGCTTGGTCGTGGGCTGGGGAGGTGCGGCCGTGCGGTGCCCTTGCCCAGGCGAGTGTGCGGGTGATGTGGGTGTGGCCCTGCGGCTGACGCCATCCCATTGCAGGTCATCGTGGGGAGCATCTTCGAGGTGGTCTGGGCAGCCATCAAGCCGGGAGCCTCCTTCGGGATCAGCGTGCTGCGGGCGCTGCGCCTGCTGAGGATCTTCAAAGTCACCAAGTACGTCGCCTGGCGCTCCCGGGCAGGGGGACGCGGGATTGGCCGACACAGGGTATTTCTAGGGCTTCCTGGTGCCCGGAGCTCCTTCCGTGGCTTCTACTGGCTTCGATACAGAGGACGGCTGCAAAGCGGGGCCCACCGGGCACCCGCCGGCTGGCCGTCCCGCAGCCGCGGGGCCACGTCTGCCCTCCCACCTGCCTCAGCGCTGCCGGCTCCCCACGTCCCGTGTCGCTCCTCTCTTTTGAGGCTCCCAGTCCCATCCTCCCGGCCTTCAGAGGTGACTTTGCTTTATGGTCAGGAGAGAAAATGGCAGTGCCGAGTCCTTCCCTGCAGCCCCAGGGAGGGCAGGAGACCTCGCCGTCCCCCTGCCCTGGCCTGGCCCCCGTGCAAGCCCGGCCCTTTCCTGTCCTGTGACAATGGCAGGGACGAGACCGTGTCTTCAGTCATGTCCCACTTGAGCCCTGGCTGGGCAGGAGTTGCTCCATCTGCCTGCGAAGAGACAGCTCAGGGGCATGACGTGGGGCCGTCAGTGGGCGCAGGCCCGGGGCTGCCGGAGCTGTGGAGGGAAGAGGGAAGAAAAGCAGCAAGGACGACTGTGGGCTCGCCGCGCCCTGCGTTTGTGGGGCTCCCGTTCCACAGGCAGCCGGACCACACTGGGCCAGCAGCCGTGGGGCCTGAGGAGCAGAACTCCTTACACAGCCTGTGTGGGGCAGGGGCTGTGGGCCACCCGTCCAGCAACGGGGACGACCTCTTGGAAGCCCACTGGTCTCCCCGGGCAGACCAAAGTCTCTTCCAGTCCGTTTACAGTCTAATCCTTGGGCTGTTCGAGGATGTGAGGGTGCAAATGCAGAGGAGGCTTGGGCTGGAGTCAGCCCGGCTGTGTCCACAGACGCTCGCTGAGTGTTTCGTGCAGTGTCCCTAAGCCTGCCTTCACCTAGCCTTGGGGCCTGGCATTTTGGGCTCTGGTTTTGTTTTTTTTTTAAGAGACAGAGGCTCGCTCCATCGCACTGGGTCGAGTGCAGTGGCCTCATCGTAGCCCACTGCAGCCTCGAACTCCTGGGCTCAAGCGATGCTCCCGCTTTGGCCCCCAGAGTGCTGGGATCTCAGGCGTGTGTCACCTTGCCCGGCCTTGGGCTTTGTTTTCTTGTAGGAGGTGGGGGACCCTGTACTGAGGCAGGTGACCCTGTGCCAGGCAAGGGACCCTGTGCGAAGATAGGCTGGCCTAGACCCCACAGTCCCAGGGGAGGGAGGGATTCCTTGTCGAGAGTCCTTGCCGTTAACCCTAAAGTACCTCCCGAGAGAACCTTGAGGACGGCTGGGTTTCTGCTGTGGGCAGGGTGCCAGGGACGGGTGAGCACGGGCTGGCCACCCTCCCCTCCTGGGTGTGGGGCGGCACGTCTTCCTGGGGAGTGGGGTGATTCTGGGTGTCTGGGGGCAGCTGTGCCCTGTGAGCACGTGTGGGAGGAACCCCAGAGACTGGGAACGGCTGTTGGAAGGTACCGGTGCCTCAGTTGCTGTCGGCACAGAGACCTCAGCAGCCTTGGTGGCCCTGTGTGCCACGGGGACCGGTCATGAGTGAGAGGGTCCTGGTTGCTGCCTCCAGGACGGGGGGAGGTGTTGAGGGATGTCAGCGAAGCAGGGCCTGGGCAGTGCCGCTCCACGCGGAGTCCCCGGTCCTCGGTGAGTGGCGTGCTGGAGCCCGCGGACACCCTGCTCGCTCGGGACCTTCTGGTCCAGACCGTCTCCCACTGCGGGCTGCTGACAGACAGCCGCGGCCCTCACTTGTGTGGCACTGGCCCGAGGCCCGTGGCAGCTGACTGGGTGTTGGCGGTGAGCAGAGGGAGGTGCAGGAGGGGGTCTGAGCCCGGCTTGGCCTTGGCTGCCCGATGGGTGGTGCTGTTGTCCTGCCGGGCTGCCTGGCGGGGAGAATGCGGAGAGTCCAGCACCGGACGTGTTTCCTCTGCCGGGATGGCAGAGGGGCCCAGGTGGTGAAGTCAGGATAGTGCGTCTGGAACTCCAGAGAAAAGCTGTAGCTGCACGTCTGGGTGTGGGGCCCTCAGGATTTAGAAGGTCGCGGAAACCACAGGTGTGACCGCAGAGCCCCATGTGTGTGAAGTCGGCGACTGGGGTTGGCGGGCCCTGGCTGAGCACAGTCCAGGGCTGAGACCACCCTGCCTGGCCCCGCAGGTACTGGAACTCTCTGAGGAACCTGGTGGTGTCTCTGCTCAACTCCATGAAGTCCATCATCAGCCTCCTCTTCTTGCTCTTCCTGTTCATCGTGGTCTTCGCTCTGCTGGGGATGCAGCTGTTTGGGGGACAGTAAGTGGGTCCAGGAGGGGAGTACAGGTCTTGGGCCCCCACTGGGGAGGCAGGGCTCAGAGCAGACAGCGCCGCCCAGGCCTCCCCCCTCCGCTTTCCCTCCCGAGGTGCTGGAGGGGACGGTGAGCGGCCCTCTGCCACCTGTAACGAGCGTGTTGGCTGCCGGCTCCCCCCGGCTCCTGGCGGGGCTCTTTCCCGAGACTTCTTGTTGTTCTCAGGTTCAACTTTAAAGACGAGACTCCAACGACCAACTTTGACACGTTCCCTGCCGCCATCCTCACTGTCTTCCAGGTAAGGCTCCCTGCGCACGCCTGCCCCGCTCAGCCTTCCTCGCTGTGTGGGCTCCCGTTGGTCCCGCCTCTGCTTCTCAGCACGGCCCAGACAGCCGACGTCTCGGACGGAACCGTCCGCAGGCAGAACCCGAGCGCAGGCAGGTCTCCGACGCAGGGTCTCCAGTTCCCGAGACCCTGACCCAGACGTGGGGGCACCGGATGCCCTGCTGCCACCCGAAGGGGCAGGTGTGATTTCCTGGGGGCCAGCCAGGCTTCAAGAGACCAGCTCACCTCTGGCCCCCCACAAAGCACTCCCTACACTTCTCCCCCAGGACCTCAGTCCCCAGTGACACCCCCAGTTCTCTTTTGTGTCTGGAAACATGCCCCTGACAGCTCCTCGGAGAGCCAAGGCCCTGGGCCGATGTTCTGTGTGACCGAGCTTCTCGGCCCGGTGACGTCTGCCCTCTTTTGAGGACTTTCTCGGTGGGGCACTTCTGCCTCTCACGGGCTGTGGCGCCAGAAACACCGCCAGCGACCGGCTCACTGATGTGACAGTGTCGTGTGTTTCTGTCCCATGAACCCTACTGGGAAGCCACGTCTGAGACTGCGCAGCGTGCAGCAGGCTGGTGTCTGGCGCATGATGGCGCTCAGGGCGGCCTGACAGGCTATGCGCGCTCCAGGCTGGAGGCTCAGCTTGGCGCCCGGCCTCTGGCGCTGCTGACCCCAGTGCTGGCCAAGGCCGGAGCCCACAGCACATGCGAGGACCGGGCCGTGGGTCCCCCACTCTCCAGGGGAGGGAGTCTTCCCAGCAGGCCTCTCGAACCAAGCTAGGTGATTGGTGGAGAGAGCAGCTCGGTCCTGCTCATTTGCACCCACAGCTCCATTCGCTCGTCTCTCACTGGGCTGTGGCCGACGGCTCCGAGTCGCGGCCGAGCAGAGCGAGCTCTTCTCCTGGGGCACTTTTGCTCCAGGCCTCTGCTCCAGGCCTCTCAGGCCCTGGTGCTGTTCTCTCTCTTCTTCCTCTCTGGCCTCACCTTGGAGTCACTCTGCACTGTCCGCTCTCCTCTGGTTCCGAGTGTCGGGGGCACGAGTCGGCCATTGCGGTTCTCCCTTCTCCAGCTGACGCAGTGAGAGCTTCGGCTTGCGTACAAGCCCGTGACTTCCAAGACCGGGTCTCCCGAATGTTTCTGAGCACTTAGTGGGTGATGGGTTCTACACTGGCCTCTGGGACAGCGGTCTCCAAGCCGGGGCCTCCTGTGCAGGGTGGCCACAGCCTTTCCCGAGAGTGTGGTCTGCTCGGTGACGGGAGGGGTCCCAGGCCGGGGCTGCACAGTAGGGTCTTGAGTGCCAGGTGGGGGAGATCGTAAGGGGCATGTTCCAGGCCAAGCAGTAAGAACGTGAGGACAGTCTGGGCCGCGAGTGCCCGTGTGTGACGGGAGGCTCCAGGGGCTGGTGGGCCTGACGTGTCAGGCTGAGAGGCTCCCCCAGTGGGATTTGCCACCGGGACTCCAAGATAGGAAGGTGGCACGAATGGCGACCAGAGCTCGGTGTGGTTGTGTTTGTTGCAAGAAGGGACCCGAAGGCCGGGCGCGGTGGCTCACGCCTGTAATCCTAGCTCTCTGGGAGGCCGAGGTGGGCGGATTGTTTGAGCTCAGGAGTTCGAAACCAGCCCGAGCAAGAGCGAGACCTCGTCTCTACTAAAAATAGAAAGAAATTAATTGGACAACTAAAAATACATGGAGAAATTAGCCGGGCATGGTGGCGCATGCCTGTAGTCCCAGCTACTCGGGAGGCTGAGGCAGGAGGATCGCTTGAGCCCAGGAGTGTGAGGTTGCTGTGAGCTAGGCTGATGCCACGGCACTCACTCTAGCCCGGGCAACAGAGTGAGACTCTGTCTCAAAAAAAAAAAAAAAAAAAAAAAAAAAGAAGGGACCCGAGCGTGGTGAGGGAAGAAGAGGTCAGAGTTAGGAGAACAGGTGGGTTCTTCTGATCAGATGCTGCTCTTAGACCTTATACCCCCTCTGCTCCAATCAGAGCAATTAGATAATGATACGTAGAAAGTAAAAGGACCTAGCCAAGCAAAAACCAAAGTCTCTGTGGACGAAAAACGGAACAGAATCTATGGTGGTGAGAGACGGCAGAGACCCAGGTGCTGGGACATGGCCTGGGGAGGGGCGGGTGGGCTGGCGTCTGCGCTGCGGTGTCCACAGCTCGTGTGTGGCTTGGCCCTTTGGAGCCCTGGGGCAGGCGTCCCACCCTGAGAGGAGGACGGCTCAGAGCAGGCAGTCGGCCAGGCCCTGATTCCCACAGGTGGCTCTGGCCTGGGGGACCGAGACCCGGCCGCGAGCCCCTGCGTCTGCCTGGGGTGTGGAGGGGGCGGGGAGGGCGTGTGTGAGGTGAGGCTTCAACTCTGCGCCTGGTGAACACAGACTGACACCACGGGGAGGACCAACGACAGCCACAGCTGGAAGGTGGGATCACTCCCAGGGAAAAGGAGGTGACAGAACAAATACAGAGGACCCTAAACTGAATATGCCTCAGATCCTCAAAGGAGTAAAGGGAGAACCCATACCAAACACAAACTTACGATAAAAAGGCACCGAAGAACACAGAATAGGTTAATTTGGAAAAGGACTGACTAGAGAACCTAGAAATGAAAAATACAGCAATTTAAATTAAAAAACGAAGGGTGGACGGTACACCGGGCGCGATCGGAGAGAACAAGCAGGGAGAGCGGGAAGGCGGCGCTGGGGAGAGGCGGCGCTGACGAGCACGACGGGAAGCCGAGGTGGGCTGGAGCTGGGCCGGTGTCGGGCGTGGAAGACGTGGAAGACGGGCGGTGCGTGCCCTTCCGGAATCATCCTGGAGTGTGTGAGCTCAGAAGGCCACGCAGAGGGAACAGAGTAATTCCAGACACAGACACGGTACACTGTGATGAAGAGAACATCTTAAAAGCTACCCTAGGAAAACAGATTTCCTACGAAAGAATGACTTCTCATGAGCAAGAGATGCCAGAAAGTCACAGAAAAGTCACTTCAAAATACTGGGGTGCAGCCACCGTTAGCCGGGAATTCTGAATCCAGGGAGCTGTGATTCAAGCGTGGGAAGACCCTTTAGACACGGACGTGAAGAGACGACCACCCCCAAGATCATTGCCGAAAACACCACAAACCCTGATGCATTTAGTGAGGTGGATGATTTAGAAGAAAAGAATACATTTAATTAACCCAAAAAGAAACAGGAAGCCTGAACCATTTCAGAAACCAACTAATTAAAATCTCCTACCCACACCACCAAGTTCAGATAGGTTCATAGGTGAATTCTATCAACTATTTAGGGAGTTATTCCGGTTACATGTGGAGCACTCCAAAGAACATAAAAGGAAAGCGCCCACTTATGAGGCCAGAGTAACTTTGCTGTGTGAAGACTAAACAAGGACAATGTAGGAAAAGAAAAATGCAGGTTCGTGTCACAAAGACAGAGGCAAGAATATCCAGAGAAGTCATCCCTGATGAAATTATAATTAACTAGCATTTTTTCCTAGAAATGCAAGATAATTTAACATTAGGAAATCTATTAATGCAATTTATCATATTAACAGATTACGGTGGAAAACCACTGTATGAGAAGAAAAAGCATTTGAACTCTAGCAAAAGCACAGCCAGCCACATGAATGAGACGAGAGACGCAGGGAGACTGACAAATTTTGTCGGTTGCTGAAACCGGGTGATGGGAACACAGGGTTCGCTACGCTCTGTACTTTGTGTGTGTTTCAAATGTCCATGATAAATTTTTTTCTAAAAAAAATCATGGTAAAATCTAGCACTCCTTTCAAATAAAAACTCTTAGCAGATTATGCTAGTAGCAGTGGTCTTAGTGCAGTAGAACAAGAAAAAATGAAATATAAATGCTCAGGATGGACAAAGGGGAGAGAAAAACGTCATTGTTTACAGACGAAATATTTGTATATTCACAGAAAACCCAAGTGCCATCGTTGCGGATATTGCGGGACAGTTTGTTCACCCGTGTGGCATATAGAAAGCATGAAGTTGGATCCTTGCCTCGTGCCAGACGTGAAGATGGATTAACCACCCAAGTGTGAAAAGCAAACCTGAAATTTTAGAAGAACACACACAAGTACATTGTTATTAATTCAGAGCAGAGAAGGCCTTCTTAAAGAAGACATAAAAAGCACAGGTCATAAAGGAGACAATGGACAAATATGATATTAAAACAAGAATTCCTGTGCATCAAAAGATACCATAAAAAAGTGAAAAAAAAAGCCCTAAAAATCATAGACTGGGAGAAGACATTTCTAATTAGTAAATAACCAACAAAGGGTTAGTTTTCAGCAGGAATCAAAAACTTCTGCAAATCAAAACAAAAAGACCACGTGGTAGGAAAAGGCAGAGGGTGTGAACAGGCCGCTCACAGGAGAGGAACCCAGGCTGATGAATGGACTGCAGATCGGTGATCCATCTCACTGTGGTCAGGAAACTGCAAATTCAACCCACAGCGAGACCACCCTTCCTGCCTGTCAGTTAGCCGAGATTGCGAAATACAAAGATGTCAAGTTTTAGAGAAGACATGGAGCAATGAGGACTCCTGTATGCTGTTGGTGGGTTGGTAGAGGGCAATTCTGGAGGGGAATTCCGTAATACCCGATCATGGAATCCGCGCGTAAGCAGCTCCCATCCTAGGTATGAGCTCTGGAAAGTTTCTTGCCCAACCGCGCAAAGAGACGTGTGTGAGGCCATAATAGCAGCATTCTTTGTAACGACAAAAACCTGGAGGTCACCTGACTGCTCATCATTGGAGGATGGATGAGAAGTGTCATCGTTGTGCAGCAGGGACAACAACTGGCCCAGAACTACATGTACCAGCAGGCTGAGCTCACAAACGTAATGCTGAGCAAAGAAAGCATGTTTCAGAATAATACGTAGTATGTGCTACTCTTAAAATAAGGATGAGAACCATGCAAAACAACGTTACATATTGTTTATGATACGTATGCAGTAG